AAGATCTTGTTCGTGATCAATCTCAGTAATCAAGCTCGAGAATCAACATATGACGATTTTTGACATTATCATATACACACACACACACACACACACACATATTTTCTTACATTTATAAGAAGCATAAATTGAATTTAGATATATTAAGATATAAATGAGGATACAAAAGTGATTTTGAAGATAATAATTTATATCCAATTTTATGCCGCAGTTGAAGATGCTCTTATATTGCCATATTCTTAGCCTCAATCAATGTTCTAAAATGCCCGCATATTCTTGATGTATTTTAAAAACGCCTCGCATATGGGATATGCATGTGATAATACGGTCAACTCATTTCATTGACCGTATATGCACGCTTAAATCCCAAAATGTGCACGTATTTTTGTTAAAAATTGTGTCAAAATTAGCCTAGCAAATCTCAGCTCATTTTTATAACTTAAAAAATTAAATTAACTCAAATCACCTAAATTATGAATCATGTACAACAATTTGTAGGTTTTTGACATTTAGAAAAAAAAAAAAACAAGATTTTCGTAAAGTTGAAAACTATCTACATCGAGTCAGAGCCTCCTTTTTCTTTGTTTTTCCTCAGATTTTACCAGCAAGTTATACTAGTAATGCTCAAATTTGAATTGTTGATGGTTGTTATAATGAGAATGAGATTTACAAAATATTTTGCCAACTATAAGAAGTAATATAAAATTACGAGTTGAAAAAAGGGAGTTCGACGAAATAATTTTGCATCGAATGACATGAAAGATTATTTGCATGAAGAAGATAAGATTGAATTGAAATTAGGGATAGCAAAAAAATACATTCAACTCGATACCTGTGGGGACGAGACATGGGTCATTGCCCTGAAGCGTACGGGAAATATATCCCCCTAGCCCACTTTAAAGTTAATTTCAAATTTAAACTTTTTATCGAAGAAAAATAAACAAATTATAATCATTTTTAAAAGGAACTTAAAAAATTGGAAAAAGTAATAATATTTACTAACTAAATATATAAAAAAAGGGCAAAAAATAAAATAAATAAAAAAGAAAAAGAAAAAATAAACGGGGTGATAAATGGGGTAGGAGACCTTTCCCGTCCCGTCCCGTCCCTTCCCGCTTTAGCCGAGTATGAAAAATGGGTAACGTGACAAAAATATTTGATAGGGACGAGAGTGGGAATAGTCAACTTGTCCCATATCCGTCCTATTGATATCCCTAATTGGAATCC